ATGTAGCCTAATGTGTGGAGCCTCATCAAACGGCTGTTACAAATAAATATATATAATACCTGCTGCCTCCCCTTTCTCTATCATGCTTGTAACTTGCTCAAAGAATTGCATTAAATTTGTCAGCCATGATTTCCCCTTCATGAAGCCATGCTAACTGCTTGATTGTGTTAGGCATTTCTAAATGATCTGCGGGTATAACACACTAATAAATCAAGGGATAAACATTACTCAAGACATAGTATCTTTTTGCAAAGTGCCGGGGTATTTACTAAACCAGTGGAACAGGCAGATAATATCTCTTAGCAGGACAATGTTCCATATCCTCGATACAGGATAGGTCCCACAGTGAGACTTAAATTATAAGGCCACAGCCTGAACAGGATTGAAATGTAACAACTGATCAAGGGGCCAGACAGAAATGGTCATTATCTCCCGAACTCTCCAGGATTGCTGGGCAGGAGATATTGAGGCTGATTTTTGCAAACCTGCCTCTGCAGCTCCTGCTTGTTTACTGTGCCTCATTTCCATCATTTCAGACATGGCCAAGTTGGGTGAACTCATCACAGTGACTCTGGATAAGAGGGCGTTTCCAAAACAAAAATATTCACTCAGCTCCAAGCTGCTGGATGAACTACACACAGGGGACGTTTACAAATGCACAATTTGGGAATTTATACTGGAGCTCACCAAGGTAACTTTTGGATTGTCACCAATAGTACTTAATGTCTCAAATAACGATGCCCAACACCACATGGGTTACTTACATTGCTGTTCACGAAGCTGATGGAGACAATCTCGACTCGACCATCGATAGTAATGCTGTCCACTCTGGAGACTGGGATCCGGTGCTTGAATTCCAGGAAGTGTTTATCGTTCACTGCCACCTTGACAACAATACAACATGCATGAAGACAGCTAGTAACACAAGGGGTTAATGATACAGAAAGCCTCTGGGAGTTTGTGGGATACCAGTCCTGCACAGGACTGTGTCAACTCTTTTTTTTAAAAAAACAGACAGTAGGCATTTGATTTCTGTTTGTTTCGTTTTCATTTCTCCATTCCCTCTCCTCAGACCGTCGATCTCGGTAACAGCACAGTGCCCCGAATGCTGCCAGCTGCTCTCTCTCAACCATCTGTAACACAAATGGTTCTTTAAGCACGAGCTGACGAGAGATAACGGAGTCCTACCTCTGCATTCCCAGTACAGTGAATGGCAGCCTGCAGCAAGATTCCTGTCCATCCCACCCATGGGCAGCACGGTGGCTCAGTGGTTAGCACGGCTGCCTCACAGTGCCAGGGATCCAGGGTCAATTCCACACTCGGGCGACTGTCTGTGTGGAGTTTGCACATTCTCCCTGTGTCTGCGTGGGTTTCCTCTGGGTGCTCCGGTTTCCTCCCACAGTCCAAAGAAGTGCAGGGTAGGTGGATTGGCCTAAGTGATTTTCTGGGTATTGCTGATGACAAAGGTAGAAGCCAAGACCAGCGTGCGGCCTCCCCGGTCTTTTTTTTCATAGAGCGCCTACAGGGTAGAAGCAGGCCATTCAGCCCATCAAGTCCACTCCGGAGAGCATCCCTTACAGACTCACCCCACTCCCTTATCCCTTTAACCCTGCATTTCTCATTGCTAACCCATCTAGCCTACACATCCCTGGACACCATGGGCAATTTAGCATGGCCAAACCACCTAACCTGCACACCTTTGGACTGTGGGAGGAAACCAGAGCACCAGAGGAAACCCACGCAGACACAGGGAGAATGTGCAAACTCCACACAGACAGTCAACAGCGGGTGGAATTGAACCTGGGTCCCTAGTGCTGTGAGACAGCAGTGCTAACCACTGAGCCACTGAGCCACTGTGCCACTCAGTTAATAAGGAACTCCTCAGGGTTGTGCAACCCACGTAGGAGGCTAGCTCCTGATCAATCATGGTGTCACAGAAATGCGCCAGCAAATGCAGCGGTCATACTCCCAACCAAGTACACAAACCCTGCCTTAGGAAAATAAACAGAACATCAAAAAGACAAGACTAACAGCAGGGACCAAAAGATCCAAACAAGTTTTACCCCAATTTCACAGATGGCACTTTGTTTTTATTTGGTCATGGGGTGCAAACATCAATGCTAAAAACATCATATGGTGGTAATCCAATTATTCTGGCGGCCATTAACTTGGGACAATAAAACTGGAGATAGGAGGTGGTGCAGTGGTAACATCACAGCAGCTTACAGAATTTGAAAACACTTAAAATGTAAAGTTGGAAGCTCATCTGTGCAATGGCAACAATGAAACTACCATCAATTGGTCAGTACTGCCTTTCAGGAATGGAAATCTGCGATCTTTACTTGGTCTGGCCTACAAGTGACTCCAGGCCCATAGCAATGAGGTTGACTCTTAACTGCCCTCTGAAATGGCCCAACAAGCCACTGAGTTCAAGGTCAACTGAACAACAAAATGGAGTTAGCAACAAATGCCTACCTTACCAATGATGGACCCATCACATGAAAGAATGTTGCTGAAATAAAACTAAAAATACAATTTAACCATGACTTCATCTTAAAGAGCTGTGTCACACTATTTATTTTCCAAATTCCTCATTGTACAACAGTTAGGCAATTTCTGACTCCATGGTCATATTGAATGAACATACATTCTCATTGTCACAAGACCTTGCCCTCCTTTCTCCACACGCAAACCTTCTATAGGAAGTGAGTGTTGGAAAAAACTCCAGTGCTGAGTCAATACCCCATGAGCTGTGAAAACACAGCTGATGTTGCAGCCACACAGTGCAGAGGTCCTTTGGGTGCTGATTTTACTGTAAACACAGACCGCCTGGGAAGGAGGCACTGAACCTTTCAGTCCAGCTTCACGGCTCACAGATCGCTGCTGGCTTGTCCAGAAAACATTTCACGAGTGACTGACCTGATAACCCACAATTTGCCAGAGTATCAACAGCAGCAAACACGCCCTCTTCCTATTCCCCATTCCTTTTCTACAGCTGGCCTACTAGTCCACTCTCTCATCTCTACTAACACCCACACTAACTCACTCAGAACTGACTGGAGATTAGGAAATAGGAACAGGCTAATGACCTGTCCATCTTTCACGTGTAGGAGGCAGAAGGGAAAACCATTAGCTGAAAATTTCCCTGAGTATACACCATCCTGACTTGGAATTTTATTACCATTACTTTATTTTCAGTGTGTTACAATCTTGGAACTACCTCCCTAACAGCACAGCACCTAATGCTGATACACATCAGCTGTTCAAGATGGCAGCCCATAGGAAATTAGGGATAAGGCCGTAAGTGATGGTCTAGTCAGTAACACCCACATCTGTGAATAAATAAGAAACAATAATATCACAATCTCAACTTCATTTACCCAACTTAGCTTTTATCCTTTGAAACCCAAAATAATTTCAGTCTTGACAACTTCAAAAATCACCACGCCTTTATCCCATCACCGCAGCAGGGACTCCCAAACATTTTCCCCACTGGGACCCCATTTCAAGGCTGAATAATTATGACCCTCAGGGGAGCTGGTTCCTTATGAACCCAGGCTGTAGAGCAGAGGGAGTTAGGAACAGATTTCAATGTATTTAAAACTGTGTAGGCGTACTATTCGCAATGCTGCAGGGGACAGGCCTTGAGGCTGGGTCATTTAGGTCACTCTCACAGTTTGAAAAAGTGCAAGAGTTTAAGACTGCCTTGTAGCTGTGCACTCAGTCAGAGCTCCACGGCAACCAGCTGTACCTCAGTACTTGCAACCCAAGCCTTTGGCTCATCATCTTAATGTTAACTATTACCTTATTTCTTTAATTTTACTATTTGTACTATGATGGTTTGTAATGCATAACTTTTTAAACTTTGTTTCTCTCTCTTACTACTTTGTATCTAAGTTTTTTGTACCCAGGTACCTTTGTACCTAAGAAGGTACACTTTTCACTGTACTCCTGCACCTGACTACATGTGGTAATAAAACCAAAATCTAATCGAAAATTTCCAGGGGCGCTCTTAAAGTGTGGCTCAAATCTACCAGTCAGAGAAGAGTATGGGAGCTCACTGGTGAATCCATTCAGGTAGGACACATACTTTCAGAAGGCTGCAGGTGCTGGAACAGTCAGAGTTTTCAAAACTGGGACAGATGTTTTTTTTTTTAAAAGCAGAAGTATCAAAAGATCTGAAGCTGAAATGGGTAAACGGAGCTGAGGAACAGATTGGCCATGATCTAGCTGTATTGGTAGCCAAGCTGAAGTTTCTATGCCTGCTCCTATGTTTTTTAAGACTCCAGGCTTCTCTCCTGATTGACAGCTCAACAACTGAACTGTCCCTTCCTTCATATTCCTCAGCAGAGAGCAAGGAGAGGCAGCTTCAGTAAAACAAAAATGGGAGTTGGCAAGGAAGCCTCAGTCTCTACACCATTCCATTTGGTTCAAGGAGCAGTTAGGGATGGGCTACAAATATCGGCATTTCCAGTAATGCCCATAGCAACCCAACTCCAGTTTCCTCAAGACAGACTTCCCAAAAAGGTGCATTGCTCCCAATTGTAACAAGGGCGCAAAGAATGATAGGAGAGATGGTTGTATAATACTTATATCACTGGATTAGTAACGGAGGTACAGAATACTTTCAGAACACCAGTTAAAATCCCATCACTGCAGCTGGTGGGATGTGAATTCAATGAATACAGAAGCTAGTCTTAGTAATGGTGCTATTAAGCTCAACCAACTGGCATAAAGACCCATCTGGCATACTAATGCCCCTTAGGGAAGGCGATGTGCCATCCTTACCAGGTCTGGCCTACATGTGACTGCAGGCACATGGCAAGTAGTTCACTTTTAAGCATTCTCTGAAATAACCACTTCTGCTCAAGAGGCAACTAGGGACCAGCCATAAACGTTGGTATTACTAGAGATGCCCATGTCCCATGAAAATATAAAAATAGTCAAAAAGATTTGTTTAAGAAAGCTATAACATTGTACAAATTACCTTGTAACAATCTGTCTGGACAAGTATGAGAAGTTGGAAAGATTCTCCCCTCTGGATTGGCATTTCATATTTCCTCTCCTCCATGCACCACTGCTGGTCCTTGTAAGTATTGCAGACCACGTAGCCTGGGTTCGCATAGCGTGGGTTAAAGTGAAAGGCAACGTCACAGTGATGCGGTATTGAGCCACACTGAAGATTCACGTGAAATCTGAAGGGGAGAAAGAACCACAAGATGTCTCAAAGCCCAACAATCCGTGAGGAAGAACCACACTTTCCCAGCACCGAGAGATAGGAGGGAAAACCACCAAAACAGAAACATCGTTTACAAGAGCTGTGCAAAATGATACATGTTCAACCAAGTTCGAGCAACAGTGATCAAACCATCTGGCTCAGATGGGTGTAACTGGCCAACCAAGTCACAGGGAACCACACTGACACACACATTGGAATGAGACTATCCTCAAAGCATTTGTAGTTCCCCATCGACCTGCAGATGGGAAGATGAGGCACATACAAACAAGCAAAGAAGGAAAGTCTGCACGTTCGATCTAATTCAATCCAAGCAGGAAGCCCCACTGAGACAAAAGAACTGCAGATGCTGGAATCCAAAGTAGAGAAACAGGAGGTTGGAAGAACACAGCAGGCCAGGCAGTATCTGGAGGAAAGAAGCAATCAACCTTTCAGGAAAAAGGGGTAATACTCGAAACGTCGACTGCTCCTATCCTCCAGATGCTGCCTGGGTTACTGTGTTCTTCCAGCTTCCTGTTTGTCTACCTAGGAAGCCCACAGGTTCCACTGGCTGTTAGATTTAAACTTATCCAATATTATGGCTGATTTCAAAGAAGACACCCACACCCAAACCTATCAGTTTCCTAATGGTTGGAATTTGTTGAAATTACTCCATTAGACAATGTCAAGAGTGCTGTTGTGGTGTGGTGGTAGTGTCCATACCCCTGAGCCAGGAGGCCTAGGTACAAGTCCCACCTATTCCAGAGGTGTGTCATAACATCTCTAAACAGGTTAATGTAAATGCATCTCCAATGGCAAGTGACTGCTCTAATGCTGAGGACTGCTCCGGCCTTTGTGCTCAGCCTTCCTCTCCACTGGAAGCAGTTAGACTTTCATGCAAAACTTTTCAAAACTGGATAGTGAACATAATCAAGCTCATGATTTTAAGAGACATTCTCTAAGGAATACCTGTCACTCTGAGGAAGCACTCGCCCTTTGATCATGATCATCATCCCATCCTGCAGGCCTCCGGGAATGGGCCCAGTGTAAGGGATTGGCTGAAAGACAAAACAGAATGACCATCAGGTGGAACAGTGTCAACACGAGGTGCTCAGTGGTCAGCACTTCATTGATAGCCTGGGGAATCCACAGCACAAAACACGCAGAATCCAGTCCAGATGGAATTTAGAGTGAGTTTTATCTGAACAGAGCATTTGAGAAGAGGAGAATCATTTACCCCTTCCCCATGACATCTCAAGAAGCAAATTATACAGATCTTAGAGGATTCAACAGGGTCGACGCTGAGAACTAGCTCCCTCTGGTTAGGGGTCTGGGACATACTGTCTTATGAAGGGTGGCTGTTTAGGATTGAGATGAGGAGAGATTTCTTCATTTAGAGGGAAGGTGAAACATTGGAGGTCTTTATCCCCGAGAGTTGTGAATACTCAGCTGTCAGAAATTGTTAGGTCAGAGATACATGGGCTTTGGCCACTACAGGAATGATCGGACGTGGGTATGGGACAGGCAAGTGGAACAAAGGAAGATCAGCCACAATCTGATTGAATAGCACAGCAGGTCAAGGCTCTATTATGGTGTTCTGCTGCCCCTGACTTCACCAGTGGGCAGTGCCCAGGTTTAACCCATGGGAAGTGTGCAATGCAGCTGCTGCAGTCTGTCCCAGTGCTGGGAAGGGCTGGGAAGGGGGAAACAGGGTGAAAAGGAAACTACATGCACTCCTGCTCCTGGAAGTGTTACGTAGCGTCTCTATTGTTCAGTCCCCATAAAGGAAGACTTCAGGATAGGGCTTGGCTGGGAAGCTCTTCAGAACCGAATCGCCGGTTGATGCTCACTGGTCTCTAGTGAAAAAGAATGGCCACAGGGATGAGTAATGGAGTGCAGAAGGGTTGCCGGCTGGAGCCGTACTGAAACTTGGAATGAACAAGAGACTAGAGCAGGGAGTGATCTGGCTGTTTACTTTCAGCAGCAAAAAACAGAGAGAGAACATGAAAATCCATGTTGCCTTCTCGTAAGGAATCTGGCTGCAAGTGAACCTTTAACAGACTTTTCTTTTACATAGAACACAGAACAGTACAGCACAGGAACAGGCCCCTCAGCCCACTGTGACTGTACCAACTATTATGCCATTTTTAAACTCATCCCATCTGCCTACACATGGTCCATACTGTCCCTATATTTTCTACCTGTTCATGTGTCAGAGTCATACAGCACAGAAACAGACCCTTCAGTCCAACTCATCCACGCCAACCAGACATCCCAATGTGACGCAGTCCCATCTGCCAGCATTTAGCTCATACTCCTCTAAACCCTTCCTATTCATACACTGTCTAAATGCCTCTTAAACTTTACTATTGTATCTGCTTCTACCACCTCCTTTGGCAGCACATTCCAGGCACCTACCACCTCTTACAAAAAAAAACTTACCTCACATTTCCTTTGAACTTTCCCCCTCTCACTTTAAACCTATGGCCCCTGGTAGTTGACATTTTCACCCTAGGAAAGAGACTCTGACTATCCACTCTATCCACACCCTTCAATTTTACATATTTCTATCAGGTCTCCCCCTCAGCCTGTGATGCTCTAACAAAAAGAAAAAGCCAAGTTTATCCAACCTTTCCTCATAGCTAAAACAGTCCAATCCAGGCAACAGTCAGGTGAGCCTCTTCTGCACCCTCTCCAAAGTTTCCAAATCCTTCCTATAGTGCAGCGACCAGAACTGCACTCAATATTCCAAATACGGCCTGACCAAAGTCTGATACAACTGCAACAAGATACGAGAGAATCAATTCATGATGATATTACGTAAAATCTGATGAAGCAGTCAATTCCTTCTGTGTGTCAAGGGAAAGTTGGGAGGTAGTGTTCAGACACCCAGAGCTGGTTGTGATCACACACAGCAACGTTTCACTTTTCAGTGGGTCACAGTGCGAGTTTGGTACCAGCTCCCCTTAGTCAACAGCACATGATAATGGAGTGGGTCTTTTTTCCAGCTCGTTCTTTGTGGACTGTTCCATAGGAAGTAATTCAGCTGCTTATCAATTTGGAAAAATATCGTCTTTCATTTGCACAAACAGATCTTCCAGAGCAAGGAGCTAACCCTAACTGAGTGTTAGAGTCTGGCATATTATAATGTGCAGAACTACTGGCTGAGGAATGCACTTAAAGTCTGGGGCAGCCACAACAAAGCTTCAATGGGGAAGGCTACCACCGAAGGCTTCCTGTCATACAGTACATTAGGCGTCTAAAACCATTTAGAGTTCTTTGGGCCGCATACACCAATGAGTATTTGACATAAAATGTAAAACACGTGTTGGAAATATTGCCTGTAATTTTAAATGCAGTGAAATGAAATGTGTCAAATCAAAACTTAAGTACTTGGCAAATTTAAAAACTTTACAAAAAAAAACTCTCAGCTCATACACACAAACTGACTGGAAGTCACAAAGATATTTTCAAAAAAAAAATCAAGAATCAAGATCTTAGGATTCTACAGCAAGGCAAGTGAAAGTGAAGAGACTTTATTCGTGGAATGTGAACATCGCACTTATTGCCCTCCATTATTTAGCCTCTGGGAAGATGGTGGTGAGCCGTCTTCTTGAAGCACACAAAGAGGTGGACATTCTTCGTTTATTCAGTTGTCTCAGCCCCAGGATCTCTCTGCAGGAGCTTCTCAGAAGGGTATGTACCATCTACAAGATGCACTGCAGAAAATCTCCAACATTCCTTTGACAACACCTTCCAACTCCACAATATCTACCATCCAGAAGGACAAGGGCAGCAGATACATGGGGACACCTCCATCATCTTGACTTGGAAATATATCACTGTCCCTCACTGTTGCTGGATCAAAATGCTAGGACTCTCTGCCTAACAGCATTACGGGTCTAACTACAGCAAATGGACTGATTCAAGAAGGCAGCTCTCCACTACCTTCTCAAGGGCAATTAACTAGGCAGAATTCTGCAATAATGGCTAATAACCCAACAGCTGAAAAAGAAAATATTTGCATTTATATAGCATCTTTCACCACCAGGTGTTTCAAAGTACTTTACAGCCGACGAGTTACTTGTGAAATGTGATCACTTTTGTAATGCAGGAAAATTTTCAAGGAAGAGAAAACCTACAAATAGCAATTTTTTTCCCTGGGGTGGGGCATATTTTTAAGGTGAGAGGAGAAAGATTTAAAAAGGGTATGAGGATTTTTGTTTTAAACACAGGTTCATGTGTGAAATAAACTTCCACAGGAAGTGGCAGATGTAGGTACGGTTACAAGTTTTAAAAGACATTTGAATTAGTTCCTGAATAGGAAAGGTTTGAAGTAATATGGGCCAAGCACAGGCAAGTGGGACTAGTTTAGTTTGGGAACATGAACATGGACTGAAGGATCTGTTTCCGTGCTGTATGACTTTCTGACTCTATGACCAGGCTGGAGATATGGGTTCAAACAGCAGCTAATGAAATTCAACTTCAATTCAATTCAATTCAATTCAATTCAACAAATCTGTAACTGAAAACTAGTCTCAGTAATGACAAGCAGGAAATTATCGACGACTACAGTAAAATCCCACCTGGGAAGCAGATCTGTTTCCCTTACCCATGTGACTCCCAAACGACAGCAATGCAATTGACTCTTAACCACCCTCTGAAATGGTCGAGCAAGCCACTCAGTTCAAGGAGATTTACGGTGGGGCCACAAATGCTGGGCCTACCAGTGACACACCCATCCCATGAAAGATTAGGTTTTAGAAAAATAGAAAATGGGAGCAGCTGTAGGCCATTCAGCCCATTTAGCCTGCTCAATGTGATCCTAGCTGATCCTCTCAGTCACCACCAAACCGGGCTGGCAGCGTGGTGGCTCAGTGGTTAGCACTGCTGCCTCACAGCGCCAGGGACCCGGGTTCGATTCGAGCCTTGGGTGACTGTCTGTGTGGAGTTTGCACATTCTCCTCATGTCTGCATGGGTTTCCTCCAGTTTCCTCCCACAGTCCAAAGATGTGCAGGCTAGGTGGATTGGCCATGCTAAATTGCCCTTAGTGTCCAGGGGTGTGTAGATTCAGTGAGTTATAGGGGGATGGGTCTGGGTGGGATGCTCCGAGGGCCGGTGTGGACTTGTTGGGCCAAAGGGCCTGTTTCCACACTGTATGGATTCTATGATTCAAACTCCCACTCTCTCCCCTGGACATCTTTAGTGTCAAGAAATTGATTTCTTTCTTCAATATATTGTGAAGTGTCCACTATTACAACACAGACTAAACTGCATAAACATTTCACAGATAAGGTGAATAGCCAAGATCATTCCCCATGGGTAAGTGAGTCCAAAACTAGACGGCATAGGTTTAAGGTGAGAGGGGAAAGATTTAAAAGTGGCCTGAGGGGGTAACTTTTTTCAACCGAGGCTGCTGTGTATATGCGGAACAAACTGCCAGAGGAAGTGGTAGAGGCGAGCACAATTAGAACATTTAAAAGACATTTGGACAGGTACATGGACAGGTTTAGGGGGAATATGGGCCAAACACAGGCAAAAGGGACTAGTTCTGCTTAGGAAACCACGGATGAGTTGTGCCAAGGGTCTGTTTCCAGGCTGTATGACTCGAGGCCCACGACCAAACCATGAACATTCCGGAAAGATATCACATTGTGACTAAAACACAGTGTAAAACATTAATTTGCTTGTTACGGGGCGAAAGCCCATCTTAACTGGGACACCCAACACACCAAGCTATTTTAAACACACAGATCGGAGTCCATTCCGTTATATGAAGAAGATGAACCCCACCCCCCTTAGACTTTTTCAAACAACTTTGACCGAATCACATCTTTTAATCACTCAATTAAAATCCCTCACTGGCATCAAGTCAATAACCAGCCCGGAGTTTAGACTCTCTTGGGTAATGACAGGCTGCAGTTTGTCTCCTTAATGTCTGGAGCCGAAAGAGGGTTGGGAAAAAAGTTCCCAAAGACGGGAGGAAAATCTAACGGTTAGTTGTTTGTTCTAACACCTTATTCCCCCCTCTCTAAGGCTGGGTGTCACAGTGAGCGAAGCTGCAGCCGGGCGATGTCTAACGCACTCACCGGGTTATAGATGGGCTGTGGCGATCCGAAGTTCATTTTTAATCCTGATCCTATCTACTTCCAAACTACAGGCTCAGAAACCACCGAGAACTACTGTCGTAACTTCCTTTCGAGGCTGGGTAGGGGCGGTAACAGCTGCTCGCTTTTTTTGTAGGTCAGAGCTTTATTCTCATGGAATTTCCTCTCTTATTTCTTTTTCATGCTTTAAAAGCGGGGAAAAGAATACTGGTGTGATCATTCAGCAAACCTGTCTTAGTTTCTAAACAGCTCCCTGCCTGAACAGGGCCTGGATACATTGTCTCCACTTCCTTGGAATGAAAGTGGGTTTCCTGGCAGACAGACGAGTGTATCTATTCAAAGGGACAGAAATCTCTTCAACTCATTTCTTGCAAAGCTGCTGGAAGCAGAGTCTTTGATTTATTTTTAAAAGTGAAGATGGATAGACTCCTTGGGGGAGGGGGTTGATGAGGTAGGGAAAAATGGAATAATCAGATCAGCCAGCTATCCCCTTCTTGCAGGCTAAAAGGGCCGCATGTCCTGATCCTGCCCTAATTCACATGTATGTGAACTGTGGGTTACTGAATGTGAAAAATGAAGGTTCAGAACAAAAGGCCAAGCTCTATGAGCAACCTCTTCTCTCAGAGGGTTGTGTGTCTTTGGAACTCATTGCCACAGAGAGCTGTGAGGGCAGTGTCCTTGTGGGTATTTAAGGCTGAGACAGATTCTGGAGCAGTGGGGGAATCAAGGAATGTCAGATCAGCCATGATTCTATTGAATGGCAGGGCAGGCTGGAGGGGCCTACTCCTGTTCCTATTTCTTATGGTCCTACAGATTATAGAATTAGTAATAATTAATCAGGCTGATAGAATGAAATGGTAATGAAAACCGAAACCAAATGGCAACAAAAAATTGTTTCAGAACGTACTTCTGTTTCTTCTTAATCCTTATTCCACATTAATGTTTTTCCTTTCTTAGCATTTATGGGAGGGGTTTTGGAGGGCTGAATCAATTTTTTGAGAGACATTTTAAGCAGTGAGAGGGAAGAGTCAGACAGGGTTTTTGTTTATAAAGAAATGAAAATGTGACAATTCACTCTTGCAGGAATAAGCTGGGACACTGTAAATTTCTGGGGCAGAGATGTTGATTTGAATTTGGACATTGATAATATTACTTTGTTAAAAAGATGATGTATGCCTTTTAAACATCAGCAGTAACTTTGAGAGTTTAATAGATAATTAATTTGTGAAATGAGTATGTTCCTAGCTAATCAGGAATCTAAGGGTAAGGCAATGGTTGTGTGTTATGAATAGTACAGTTTTATGAATCAAGAGTGAGGTAGAAAGATTTTCAACTCCTCAATAGATGATCTTACTGATAGTTTGAATATGGACTGCATAAAACAATGATAATAAGAGCCAATTTAGGCCAATCAGCCAATTAAGTCTGCTCTACCATTCGATCAAGGCTGATTTGTTTCTCAACCCCATTTCTCATGCCTTCTACCCATAACTCTGAATCTGCTTAGTAAGCAAGACCTATCTATCTCTGTCGTAAATACATTTAATGACTTGGCTTCTACAACTCTCTGTGACAATGGGGGGTTCCTTAGATTTATCACCTTCTGGTGAAAGAAATTCTTCCTCACCTCATTTCTCAAGGGTCATGCCTTCACTCTGAGGCTGTGCCCTCAAAAAGTCCTAGTCTCTCCTACTAGTGGAAACATCAGTTTCCATGTCCACTCTATCCAGGCCTCTCAATATTCTGTAAGTTTTAATGAGTCTCCCATTCATCCTTCTAGACTCCATTGAGTGCAGACCCAGAGACCTCAACCGTTCCTCATTTGACAAGTCCTTCATCCCTTGAATGATTATTGTGAACCTCCTCTGAACCCCTCCAATGTCAGCACATCCTTCCTTAGATACTTGGAGACAGTAAGGACTGCAGATATTGGAAGCCAGAAGCAATAGATGTGAAGCTGGAAAAGCACAGCAGGTCAGGCAGCATCCAAGGAGCTGGAAAGTCAATGTTTCGGGAAGGGTTTCAGCTTGAAATGTTGACTTTCTTGCTTCTCAGATGTTGTCTGACCTGCTGTGCTTTTCCAGCTTCACATCTATTGACTCCTTCCTTAAATACGTGGCCCAAAACTGATCACAATATTCCAAGTGTGGTCTGACCAGAGCCTTGTACAGCCTTAGCAGTACATCTCTGCTGTTGTATTCTAGCCTTCATTTCAAGAGAGCTAACATTTTATTTGCCTTCTAGACTGCCAACTGAACCTACATGTGAACCTTGGGAATCTTGAACTGGGACTCCCAAGTCCCTTTGTGCTTCAGATTTCTAAAGCCTTTCCCCATTTAGAAAGTGATCTACACCTCTATTCTTCCAAAAGTGCATTATCTCACACTTTCCCACATTGTATTCCATTTGCCACTTCTTTGCCCACTCTCCTAGCCTTTCCAAGTCCTTTTGCAGTTTCCTAAACACTACCTGTCCCTCCACACATCTTTTTATCATCTACAAACTTAGCAATAATGCCCTCTATTCCTTTGTCCAGATTGTTAATATATAATGTGAATAGTTGTTATTCCAACACAGAACCAGCGGAACTCCTCTAGTCACCAGCTGCCATCCTGAAAAAGACCTCTTTATCTCCACTCTCTGCCTTCTGCCAAGCACCTTGCCCCTAACACCATGGGCTCTTATCTTACTTGGCAGCTTCCCATATGGTACCTTGTCGAAGCTTTCTGGAAATCCAAATAGATCGTGCCCACTGGTTCTCCTTTGTCTAACTTGCTTGTTACCTCCTCAAAGAATTCTAACACATTTGTCAGGGATGATCCCCCCCTTGTCAAAGCCAAGCTGACTCAACCCTATTTTATGATGCACTTTCAAGTACTCCACAATCTCTCCCTTAATAATGGACTTTAAAATCTTACCAACAATTGAGGTCAGGCTAACAGGCCTATAGTTTCCCATATTCTGCCCCCCTTCCTTCTTAAACAGGAGTGTTACATTGGCCATTTTTCAGGCCTTTGGGACCCTCCCTGACTGAGTGATTCCCAAAAGATCACCACCAACACCTCTACAATCGCCTACCCTATCTCCTTCAGAACTTTGGGGTGTAGTCCATCTAATCAGGGTGATTTATCCACCTTCAGACCTTTGAGCTTCCCCAGCACCTTCTCCTTAGTGATAGCCACTATGCTGACCTCTGCTCCCTGATTCTGTTGAAGTTTTAGTATGCTGCTGCATCTTCCACTGTGAAAACTGATGCAAAGTTCCTATTCAGTTCCTCTGCCATTTCTTTGTTCCCCATTACTACTTCTCTAGCCTCATTTCCAGTGGTTCAATGGTTTCAGTCGTTCTTGCTCCTCCATCATGTCTTTGGAGTTCACCACCAGGGGCTTACCAGCATCTTTCCAAGGGCAAATAGGGATGAGCAATAAGTTGCTACCAAGCCAGCAATACCCACATAACATTAAAGAATTTTAAGAAGTAATCTATGGTAAAATCCTCAGAACTTTTGAGTGACTTCAGATATTAATCATGCATGCCTTAATATACTCTTACGTTTCCAGCAAGTATTCAGTTCGATAATTCTTTAGACAAAAGTGTAGTTTGATCGCTCTCTTCCTCTTGTGAAGTTGTTTGGAACATGTAAACATTGATATTTCACTTTTCATATTGGAGTGGCTTTCAGAGTGCTGCTCCTCCAAAAGCTTGTGATTTCAAATAAACCTGTTGGACTGTAACCTGGTGTCATGTGACTTCTGACTTTGTTCACCCCAATCCAAAACAAGGACCTCCACATCTTGTGAACAATTGTAATGCATGTTTTGGGGAGAGGAGCAATTAAGACACTTCTCAGTCAAACATCAGTATAAGCCCCCAACCTCCCACCCACGGCCTCCAACCTCATCGTTCCCCAACCCTGCACCGCCCGCTTCTATCTCCTTCCCAAAATCCACAAACCTGAATGCCCTGGTCGACCCATTGTCTCCGCCTGCTCCTGCCCCACCGAACTTATCTCCAACTATCTGGACTCCATTTTCTCCACCTTGGTTCAGGAACTCCCTACCTACGTTCGTGACACCACCCACGCCCTCCACCTCCTCCAGAACTTCCAATTCCCCGGCCCCCAACATCTCATCTTTACCCTGGACGTCCAGTCCCGATACACCTGCATTCCCCATACAGATGGCCTAAAGGCCCTCTGCTTCTTCCTGTCCCGCAGGCCCGACCAGTCCCCCTCCACTGACACCCTCATCCGCTTAGCCAAACTCATCCTCACCCTCAACAACTTCTCTTTCAATTCCTCCCACTTCCTACAGACAAAGGGGGTAGCCATGGGTACCCGCATGGGCCCAAGCTATGCCTGCCTCTTTGTAGGTTACGTGGAACAATCCCTCTTCCGTACCTACACTGGCCCTAAACCCCACCTCTTCCTCCGTTACACTGATGACTGTATCGGCGCCGCCTCGTGCTCCCACAAGGAGCTCGAACAGTTCATCCACTTCACCAACACCTTCCACCCCAACCTTAATTTCACCTGGACCATCTCTAATACCTGTCTCTCCTTCCTGGACCTCTCTGTCTCCATCTCAGGCAACCACCTAGAAACCGATATCCATTTCAAGCCCACCGACTCCCACAGCTACCTAGAATACGCCTCCTCCCACCCACCTTCCTGCAAAAATGCCATCCCCTATTCCCAATTCCTTCGCCTTCGCCACATCTGCTCCCAGGATGAGGCATTCCACTCCCGTACGTCTCAGATGTCCTCGTTTTTCAAGGACCGCAACCTCCCCCCCCTCTGTGGTTGAGAACGCCCTCCACCGTGTCTCCCACATTTCCCGCAACTCATCCCTCACACCCCGTCCCCGCAACAACCAAAAAAGAATCCCCCTCGTCCTCACGTACCACCCCACCAACCTCCAGATCCAACGCATCATCCTCCGACACTTCTGCCATCTGCAATCCAACCCCACCACCAAAGACATTTTTCCCTCCCCACCCTTATCTGCTTTCCAGAGGGACCACTCCCTCCGTGACTCCCTTGACCACTCCACACTCCCCTCCAGCCCCACCACACCCGGCACTTTTCCCTGCAACCGCAGGAAGTGCTACACCTGCCCCCATAC